CTGAGAGCAGAACCAACACTAGAACATCTATCCTGCCAGGCCCCAGAACATCCCATCTTACCTTGGAACTGGGAGCTTCTGAATGCGCCCCGTGACCTTTGTGCTCAAATCAAGAGTCCCATCAGAGAATTACAGAAGTGTCATGGGGACACAAGCTCTGGATTTCTCCTCTTGGAGCAGGACCAACACTAGAACATTTCTCCTGCCAGGCCCCAGAACATCCCATCTTACCTTGGAAGAGGGGAGATGGAGATGACATCCCAGCTGTCAGTCTCTGTGTTCAGCCTCTGCACTCCATCGTACACGTGGCTCATCCAGGCCGCAGACCACGTAGATTCTGCTGCCCACACTGACAGCATCTCCTCTCTCCACGGGCTGGGCCATGGGGCTCATGCTCTCCCACTCTGACTCCAGCAGTGCCATGCGCTCCACGGCCGCGGTGATGCCCTCATCAGTGCTCCCTCCCAGCACGTAGAGGCAGAGCCCAGCGCCCGCCGCGCAGTGACTGTGTCGGGACAGCTTCATGGCTGGGCCCTCCAGCCAGCTGTTGTCCAGGCAGTTGTAGATAAGCACCCAATCCACACTGTACCATACGAACTCATCCCGGAAATAGCCTCCTGTCACAAAAAGGAAACTCCCTGGGAAGATAGCAGAGGAAGTTTCAGCCACGTGAAAGTTGAAAAATCACTCCTGAGAGTTGGAGGGTCTCGTTTCTCCCTAGGTTGTAGCCATGAGGGGTGAGCTGAGCAGAGGGAATCACTGCTCTGCCAAGCAGTTTGCAGGATTTGATTCCTCATCTGCACAGATCATACTCTGTTTGGTATCATAGTGTCTCAGTATGTTCATTCAGGGGTTGGGATGGAGCTTAGAGATCATCAAATCCCAACCCCTGCCCTGGGCAGGGACACCTCCCACCAGAGCAGGTTGCTCAAAGTTTTAGCCACCCTGACTGGGAACACTGCCAGGGCTGGGGCAGCCACAGCCTCCCTGGGCAACCTGTGCCAGTGTCTCACCACCCTCACAGGGAAATCCACTGCTCAAAGTCCTCAGACTCACTCCAGACAAAGCTCAACAGACTCCATAGTTTCTGCTCTATGAGAAGAAACATTCAGCTTTGTCTAACCATCTCTAAGGACCAAGGAAAACAAAACCATTCTTTGCACAGATCGAACACCCAAATGGCTTTAGCAGCACTGAGCATAGCACTTTGGGGCAACAGCTGAACCTGCTGTGTCTGGGACTCTCAGCCTCCCTTCCCTGCAAGTTACCTACTGCTGCTACTGCATACTGGGTGAGGTTCCTGCGCTGCAGAGGAGAACAGGCCTGCCAGGCCCCTGTCTTGGGCTGAAAGAGAAATAGTTCCTGCTGCTCCTTGTCATGCTTTCCTCCCAGGACATAGAGGGTGTCATAGCTCCGACCAGCCTGAGGACACAGTTGGGGGTGGTGCCAGCTGGGGGGAGGACAGCTGTCTAACTTCTTTACTAGTCTGGAATAGAGATCTGTCTCCCCAGAGCGTCTGCTGCGTTTCACCAGGAGATCGAGGAAGGACAAGCTCAGGAAAGTGACCCTGACTTCGCCCACCAGCTCCAGGAATTCCTCCTCTCTCGTCGCTGGGTCCTCCGTTATCCACCTGGTGACACTGTTGAAAACCACATCTTCCCGTGGCACAAAGAGCTCATCACTCCTCAGGAGCTGCAGCAGCATTTCCTTGGGTAGTGTCTGAAACTCCTCCTGGCACATCACATCCCCCCAGTGAGTGAGAGCCACGTTCATAGCTGCCACGTACAGCTCTGTGAAGGCAAACTGCTGTGCATAGCTCATCAGGCCCAGACAGTTGGAAACGTGCAGCTCTCGCTCCAGGAACTTCTCACACAACAGTTTCACCCTGTCAAACTGGAAAAAATCAGCTGTTTCCAGCAAGCTGGTCACGTTCTCTTGGCCTATAAGCACCTGGGCCGTGCGGGTGAAGTCGAGCAGGGCCTGGAAGGGCACGGCGTCGACGCCGCGCAGCACGATGTGCTGCTCCGAGCTCTCCCTCGCCCCTCCGAAGAACAAGGCCTGGAAGTAGCGGCTGTGCCCGGAGAGCTCCCTGCGGCTCACCTGGAACAGCCTCTCCCCCACCTCCAGCACAGTGTCTGCAGCAGGGTCTGTCTGTGCTCCCAGCTCCGGGGGCTCCTGGGCAGGCTCCATGCTCCAGGTCTGCCAGGCAGCTAAAATTAACCCGGCCCTGACGCAGCCCCCGCTCCTGGGAGCTCTCTGGAAACATTATCCCCCAGCTGGGATAAAGAGGAGATAAACCAACCTCGTCCTAAAAATAGAGTATGCTTTCCAGCCTCCTGCTCTCTCTTCAGCCTCCCCTGCTGCTTGCAGAAGAGCAAGGGCAGAGCAGCTGTACAAGCAAAGAACTGCAGACCTGAGTGGCACCTGCCCTCAGCAGGTAGGGCCACGGTGACTCAGGGATGCTGAGAGCCAAGCAAAGAGCCTGGACCAGCAGGAGGAAACAGGAGAAACAACCAAAAGCCTCCTAAGCACTGAGTAAATATCAACAAGTTGTTGAGCCCATTTGGAAAACATCATCCATCACAATTATCTGTCACTTCTGCAAACACAAAGTGTAGGAAAGCCTGAAACTTTCTGGGAAAGACACACTGATTTCCCCAAAGCCACATCAGTTTGAGTTTTAGATCAAACTCAAATCTAATAGCATAAATGAATATCATAATTTCATATAAAATCCAAGTGATTGTAGTTTTACTACGTACTTAACTCTACACTTCAGTAAGGAAGGAATTCCCTTCAAACCCAAATGGCTTCACATGTTCAGCATCCTCAGCCTGACACTACATAGACACAGATGTAGGACAAGCAACAGCTCAGTGGTGCTACAGTCAGTTTTTCCAAAGGTATTAATTGAGAGATTTGCACAGTGACCTTGCACTAAACCCCTCATCCCACACCAGCGAGACTCAGCCCTGTTTCTTGGCAGAGCTCAGCAAGCAGAAGCACAAACACTTCAAAAATTCACCTGGAGAATCCTAAAACCTCAGAATTGGAAGGAACCCTTAAAGGCCATCCAGTCCCACCCCTGCCACGGCCTGGAACACTCCCAGGGATGGAGCAGCCACAGCTGCTCTGGGCAACCTGTGTCAGTGCCTCAGCACCTCACAGGGAAGAATTTCTCCTTGCTATCTACTCTGAATCTTCCCTCTTTTATCTGTTGCAACAGGCCCTGCCAAAATGTCTGTCCTCTATTAATGTCATGTTCTTCTTTCCAGGTCCCTGACTCCCAGACACAGCCCCAACGTTTGCCCTGCACAACAGGAACTGCCACACAGCTTGAAGGCTGAGCAGGCAACGTTGGAAAAATGTTCCTCTCCTGCCTTTGCACACTTCATCCACGAGTTCAGGCAGATCTCTCTGCACTGCTGGCCCAGAACCCACTCGAGAGCCTCAGCAGGTCTGTTCCTGCTGCGACACTCAGAGATGGTGCAGCATGTTGGCATCAACATGCAGCAACCTCTCCCACCTCAAGGAGAGTTCAGGACTGCTCAGGCTAAGCAGATCCTGCTCCCAAGACTCTGAATTAAGGAGCCTCTTCAGCTCACACAGGCCAAATGCCACCCAAGGCACCTGGTCCCCAGTTCCAGAGCCTCCTGGAAAAGTCAGATTCACTGAGTTGGAATTGACTTCAAGTTCCCATTTCAGAGTTGGCCCAGGGGAGGCTCAGTGGCAGTTGGTGCTGTGGCCAGAATGACCTGACACAACCTGTGCTTGGCAGGTGCTCCTGACAGTCTGCAGGGCTGCTGCTGCCACCAAAGCAGCTGACCTCCTCACAAAGGTCCCCAGGAGAAGCTGGTGGCAGAGGCAGGTACACACAGCCTCACCTGGGCCATCTGAAACACCTGGAAGAGATCAGAGAATCAGTTAGGCTGGAAGGGACCACACTGGGTCATCTGGTCCAACCTCCCTCCCTGCTCAAGTCCCCAGAGAAGGAACCAGATGCTCTCAGGCCTTTCCCATCAAATTCCTGAGTGGATCATTCTCTGGTCCCTTCCTGTTCTGAGGTGTTTCTGCACCTCCTGAACAAATTCCATTTCAATTCCTGGCTGGAGATTTGGAATGTCAACTGTAGTTGAACCAACTAAAGACCAAACATTTACAAACAGATTCATATGTATTTATTTACTCAAATTCCTCAAATCTTGCATTTTCTGCAGTATAAAAGAAATAAAAATGTTTACTTACAAATCAAGTGGTAACAAGCAGAACCATGAGGGGCTAGACAGCTACAATAACAACATCTGCAGTACCTCCAGGCACTGCCTACATGAAGCAAACAGCAGGGCAGTCAACATTCTCCCCCTAAAATTCCCAGTATCACATTGATACCTCCCTAAGTTCATGTCACTCAGCCAAGAATCATCCCAGAAGTTACTCCAGTGCTTCTGCAGAAATGTGTGAGGCTGCTGATACACAAGTCTCAGCCCACCAGGTCTGCACCAGGTGCTGGAAAAACCACCTTGGCCACATCCCTTGTGAAGGTGATGCCACAGTAACTACACCAGGAAGGTGATTTTCCTGCACAAAAGAGACTTGAACTCAACATCAGGAAGAGTTCACAACGTTTCCCAGCTGAGTACTGACATCTCAGAGGAAGAAAATAATTTTCTGATGAATTTAGGCTTTAGATCAGATGCATTAGAATATATTTTAAGTGTAAAGAAAATGACCAATATTCAGGGCATTTTAACTCGTTTTAAGGGGCTGTTTCAAAACTCACAAGATCAAGAGGGTCTCAGACAATCCCAGGGCAATGTGTTCCCTCCTGGCAGCTCTAAACAAAGTAATTACATACTTATTTGGGGATGGGAAGGAACCACAACTTCCTTCTTGCACCTCACACCCCAGTCTCTCCTCTTTAGGCAAAAGCAGAGCTGCCTGTTTTTTCACATTAACAAATACATTCAAATTCCCCCCAAACAAGAAGCTTCACACACACTGACAATCCAAAGGAGGCATTAGCCATCCTGCTGCTGAATGAAAGGGTTTGGAATAGCTTCCATCCCATCCTGAGGGCAGATGAGGACCACAGAAGTCCCTCTGCACACCACGAGTCCCAGCTGGCGTGTGTCTTCTGTTAGCTTGAACTGATCATCTGGGTCTGCAAAGCAGAGGACACAGTTACTACAGGAGAACAACACATCCCATCAGCTCCAACAGGCAAATATGCATTTCCAGGTGTCTCTGCATCGTGCTGAGACTATAAAGGTGATGCAGGATGAATATCTGATGGCCTCAAGACATGACTGATTTACTCCTCTGCAAACCAGCACATGCCACAGTGAACACACAGAGCTTGGCTTTGTGTGCAGCCAAAACAGAACACACCAAGGAACAAATCCAAAGGCCCTTTCACTCCTCTAACCAGTGACAAACAGGCAGGGGACAGAAAACAGCTCCTAATCCCATTCCAAACGTCATTACAGACAAACATTTGGGGGTCAATGCAAAGCAGAACAAGACTTGAGATTGCTCTAAGGACAGAACACTGGTCCATTCCCAGATTGGGCCAAATTCAGCTGTGCATAAGGACAAAGACATTTAGGCATTAGCCACTTCCACCCTCCATGAGAAGTTCTGCTCAATAAAAATGCATTACCCCCTTCTAAGAGCAGCTCAAAGCTGCAGCTCGTTCGCTCACAGAGCTGGGAAACTTCTGCTAGGAAAAGAACTCAGAGAGGAAAAGGTTTCTGTAGGTTACTCACCTCGCATATACTCAATGGTACCATCCAGCACCAGGTTCAGAAGAGGGTCAAATCCTTTCAAGACACCACTTGCTGTGGGAGACCAAACAGAAAACAGTGATGAGAGACCAAACCCAGGTCCCAGCAACACAAGGCTGCAGGAAAAGCACAGCCAGCTCTCAGCCCTGCTCCCTCCTTCAGGAAAGGCTACCAGTGTCCTTCTCAGCAGCAGCAAGTGCTCAGGACCTGCTCTATGTGACACCCCTCAATGCAAAAACTGCCAAAATAAGGCAGCTGAAGACAACTGGAAAAAAAAAAGAAGAAAACAAAGGTGCACGGAGCAGACACGAAGATAAAATCGCAGTAAGGAGATTGATGGAAAAGCTGAAGGAGGAAAAACTTCACACTGGTAACTGTGTGACAGCTAAAAGCACCTACTGCTCCTCACTGGCCCTGAAGGGAAGCAGAGAGAGCTCAGGGGAGCCCAGAGACAGGCAGAGAATGCTCAGAGGGGCACAGAGAAAGGCACAGAGAGCCCGGGGAGGGGTGCAGGGATGGGCACAGAGAGCCCAGGGGAGCA